ATTTAGCCATATATATATATATATATATATATTTTTAGAGTTGCCCCTTTATTGATACAGGCTTTAATTAATGGACAGCTTTAGTGTATAAGATAGCAAGAGGTGAGAACAATTTTAGCAGTTAGCTGAACATTCTAATTAATTCATCAAGTGTTACTAGTAACTGTGATATACTGGAATGCCATCTCTTTTTGAAACTTTTAGGCTAAGGAAATGTGATTAAGATGTATTTTAATATTTCATCTCCCCAGTAATGTTGAAATTGTTGACTCTATTAAAATTTTTATATGCCTGTGTGTCAAGGCTATTCTTGAACAATCATATTAGAACTGAAATTGTAGCAAATAAAATAATATCTTAGGGTCATTGCTTATTTGTATCAAGAATTAATATCGTTTGACCCAAGATGCTCAAAAATACAGACCAATGATTTTAATCAAATATTATATGAAAAAGAATTACCTTTGAGAGTCAGTTTATAAGCTACCAGTGGCAATAGTAGTCAACTTCTCATTTGTTAAGTTTTTAATATTTTATATTGAAAAGCAAGTTTTTTTCTTTTTGTATTAAGTACTATGCAGAACACAATGGATTGTTTTCTATCTTATGTAATCAATGGCATTTACTGAAATATAAACCAATGCATTTTTGTAAGTTGAATATCATCTTACAAATTTTAGTGGCTTTCCATTTCGTTTTCCACCAATGTATGATGCAGTATTAATAATAAACACAGTACAGAACCACTTTGTCCTATAAATTCCTCTTTGTCTCAGACTACTCCACTGAAATCCATGATTCCCCTTTCATTTTTCTTCATTGTACTTCTTTTTGAAAATTATCTGATTTGTGCTTGTTCCTTCAAAGCTACAATTTTTATTTCTTGTAAGAAATCTAATTTGACAAGGTGATGCTATCAGAATTCAAGTGTTATAGAGCAATTTCACTTGCCTTTTTTTTTTTAAGTTGAAATACACCTTGTATTTCCTATTCTTTTTTTTCAATAAATTATTATATTTTATATAATTCTTACATCATTTTTCATTTTTACATAATGTATGCATTTTCATTTTGGTTATATTCCCCATATAATTCCCACCCTCTTTTTCTGACCCTAATCCCTCTTCTCCCCCCGGCCCCCACTGTAGTGTGTCTCTGGTCTATAGTTGCTTGTTGATTTTGATTTTTACTTTATTATAATTAGTCTTTTTCCTGGTCTCTTATTTAGGTTTTCTAAATTCCTGCTATGAGTGAGGCCATCCGGTATTTTTCTTTTGCTTTCTGGCTTATTTCGCTGAGCATGATACCTTCCAACTCCATCCAAGTTGCTGCAAATTGCATGAGTTTATCTTTTTTGATTACTGAGTAATATTCCATTGTGTATATATACCACATCTTCTTGATCCAGTCATCTGTTTTTGGGCATTTGGGTTGTTTCCAAAGCTTAGCTATTGTAAATAGTGCTGCTATAAACATAGGGGTGCAGGTGCCCTTTTGAATTAATGTTTCTGTGTCCTTTGGGTAAATACCTAGGAATGGAATTGCTGGATCATATGGAAGCTCTATCTTTAGTAGGTTGAGGAATCTCCACACAGCTCTCCATAGTGGTTGGACCAGTTTGCACTCCCACCAGCAGTGCAGGAGAGTTTCTTTTTCTCCACATCCTCACCAACATTTGTTGTTGCTAGTTTTTTCAATATGTGCCATTCTCACAGGTGTAAGATGGTATCTCATTGTACTTTTGATTACAAGTGATGTTGAACATTTTTTCATATGCCTGTTGGCCATTTGCATTTCCTCTTTGGAGCAGTTTCTTTTTAGCTCTTCTGCCGATTTTTTGACTGGATTATTTTATGTGTTTTTTTGTTTTGTTTTGTTTTGTTTTTTGAGTCTCATCAGTTCTTTGTAGATTTTTGTGATCAGTCCTTTATCACTAGTGTTGTGTGCAAAAATTTTCTCCAAGTCAGTGGGGTTTCTCTTTGTTTTGGTTATTGTCTCTTTTGCTGTGCACAAGCTCTTTAATGTTTCCTATTCTTAATCTGTTATGAAGCACTGTAGTTATTAAGGTAACAACTGAATTTTCTTTCTGCTGACAATGATACAAGAGTTCCTTTTTCCATTTTGGTTCTGGGAGGTGTCATGTTGTTGCCCATTAAATATTTGACAACTGAGGTGAGAAATTCATTATATTGCTATAAAAATCTATATGAATACGTCTCTTTCTCTTCCTCACCTACCTCTTCCTTCTGTATTGCTAGAATATTAGCTTTGAATTTAAGTGAGATTACTTGTAAAATCTCTTCTTACTTGTTTAAAACCCTAAAAATTAATTTTAGCAACAAGTAGCATAACTTATGTCCTGCAGTAATGAGTATATGACTTAAATATTATATTGCTTAAGAAATACTCACACTTAAAGTTGGTAAGCACCAATAAATTGTTTCCATGTATTTTCAGTTTTCTTAATATCCCTCACAAGGTTTTGTTTTAGATACATATTCATTTGAATTTTAGCAAAGACAAAATAATAATATTGGAGTCTTTTAAAAGTATAATGCTAGGGCTGTGGGAAGCAGTAGACCATAGTAGAGCTACCACACTCATGAGAGCCAGCATCAGTGTGATGGGAGCTCAAAATAATCAGGAATGTCAATCAGTCAAACCCCCAGGAAATTAAGAGCCCAGTCATCATTTCATCTAGTTAGAGGGAAAAGCTTGCCATCTAGGTGCAAATAAAGCAGGTAGTTTAGAAATTGTAATGTCAATAATTGTATTTCCATTATACTTTATCAACCCCTGGTAAATGAGGACACTGATGTAGAAAGTTACCCACTACATAGTCAGTCTATGTTCAACTCAATTAGAGCATGTGATGGACATAAACTGTCTTCTTGACTCACCAATTCCAAGTTTGTATCTCAACATGACTATTCTAATACACATTTTTAAATGAATAAGGTTATGTATCTCTAAGAGTCAACCTTAATCTAACCTAACATTTATTGACATGGGTTCTATAGTTCCAAGCTTAGTGTTTAAGGACAAACAAAGAGTTCCATGATCCAATAAATTTGGGAGTCCATGTGCTGTGTGCTGTACTATAAGCTTCAGTATTAACATTTAATTTTTTTAGCTTTTTTTTAATTTGTTCATGCATTAATTTATTCAACAAATATTTACTGAATTCTTAATGCATGCCAGAAATTCATTAGCTGCTGGTAACAGGGTGAGGACAATGTAGATAAAGTATACACTCAGAGTCTACAGGATATATAGAAAGATTGATATTAGATTAGATTAAGGACTGAAATAGAGGCAATCCAGGGCTCAAAGGGAACATACAGCAAGGTCATCAGGGAAGGGATTTCCAAGAAGTACCAGTATATATTAAAACCCTGCAGATGAAGTAGAAGCTAGACAAGGAACTTTGTCACATAGATAGCAATATCAATAACAAAAAGCTATAGCCAACATGTAATTACTTTTTCCCTCTGCCATACACTGTGCTAGCTACTCTTCAACTGTTCTACCTGGGTGGGTTTTATTACTTACTCAAGATCTGTAGCTAATGTAGAGCAAGAAGTAGAATTTGAATCCTGGTTGGTCTGACTCCAAGGTCCTTTTTCAGCTATCCATAACTGCCCTTCAAAACAATTCATTGAGAGCCTCCCTGGTGGCGCAGCGGATTGAGCACAGCACTGTGAAGCTGTCCACAGCTTCTGCAGTGCCAGTTCGATCCCAGCGAGAATCCCACATGGCGTGCAGACCTCTCCTGTTGAGCCCGCTGCTCTCCTCAGCAGTGTATTTTGGTTGTCTGCCTCTTCTGTTCCCCACTCTGTCTCTGGTGAATCCTTTCACCCTCCTGTGCCTCTGGCCTGTACCCCAGCTCTTGTATAAAAATAAATAAATCTTTAAAAAAAAATAGAAAAAAAACCCAAAAGTTTAAAAAAAATTCATTGATTTTGATTAGATTTGTTTTATGAAAGCAAAACAATGATTTGAATGATATATTAAGTTTGACTTTGATTGTAATTATGTGATAGTTACTAGGTTTTTAAAAATAGATACACCTTTATAATTTTAATAGATGTGGTAAAATTTGGCATTTGGATAGAAGTTTCAGAAGTATTTTATAGCACTATGATTTAAAGTTCCCATTCCAAGTTGTGTCTTACACATAGTAAGTACTCCAAACAACACAATTATAACTTCACATTTTACTTTGAGTAAGTGGGAGGGTAGTTTTAAAGGACAGTCTTAAACTCTTGTAAATAATGGTACTACTGTAATTTAAAATTAAGTCTGATTCCCTCTGACATGACCAGGTTGGTCATGTTTTTTTGTTTTTTCGTTTTTATTTCGTTCTAAGATAGTATATATGTAGAAGATGAGATATAAAATTGATCCCCTTAAAAATATCTGAACCTACCTATCACCTACAACTTCTGTACAGATATTTTTGGCTACAATAATCACAGGTGATGTGAACATCAAACATCTTATATGAGAAGGTGCACAACATCCAGGTAGATCACAATTAATACTCCTAAAGATCCTAATCTAAAGGAGGGTCAGGTAAATAGTGTGTAGATTTGACAATATTAGTGGATAGTCCTAATCCTGGCAAAAATATTCAAATGTCATGATGTAACTCTTGTGTCTGTAGTGAAGGCAGGCAGTCTAGCTTTCAGACCCTGAAATCACCCTCAGGAGGTGATTTTGGAGGCTAAAAAAAATTCATCACAAAGGAAATTACCAGAAGGATAAAGAGAAGAACCTGGATAATCTGTACATCTGTATTAATTCCCAAACCTTGTCATGTATAGATAGGTACATCCACAAAACAGTGTTGCTGAGTTGAATTTCATATGCTGTCATTATTCATTTTGAGAAAAGCAGGATAGTGAAGAATAAGAAAAAAAAGTTCTCTCCTGTTGTATTTTTATTCATGCTCAAGCATCATTTTATTTCTTACTAACTTTGTGTTGGTTTAACTTTAGGGACACCACTGTACAAACCCTTACTCTTCAGCCTTCTGTTAAAGATGGACTTATTGTGTATGAAGACTCACCTTTGGTTAGTAATTCAGTTTTGTGAATATTCTCAACTGTATTTTTTAAACTGCTACCTGTGTTTCAATCTTTGAGGAAGAAAATCTTTCTTAAATTCTAGTACAAGTCATACTTCACAAGAAAGCACTGGTTTCTGTGTCATTTTGGGAAAAGGATATTTAATTATAAATTGAAGGGGATGGGTGCAATATGTTTTCTTATTCCTTCTCTCTCCAGAAAGAGATTGTTAGGGAATGACAGAAATCCTTTCATTTCTTTTTCCTTTACAGAATTTAAAAAGTAAACAAAGTTTGCTGTTATTTTCAAATTTATAGAATTTGAAATTAGATAATGCTCCTAGAATTTTTTTTAACTGATTTTAATAAGTAAAAGATATTAGCTCAGTATTTTGGGAAGCTGGAAAACTCAATCCTCAGCATCTCACATTAGGCCCAAGAAATCCCAACTTGCCAAGACATCCCTATATATAGATAAGTCCTTTGCAGCAATGACACAAACAAGCCATCTTGAAAACCTCAGTGGTCCAGACCCCAGTGACTGAAGTCTGGTGATTCTGCCAGGTGGGGCTTGAACTTTTCTTGAACAGGGATGCTGAATTTGAGAAATAGCAGCTACATTCTTTCTCTTTTTATTCAGTTTGGTTTTTTACCCTAAATTTTTAAAATATCCTTATCAGGTGTTTCTTTGTTTTAGTATGGAGTAAAATATTTTTGGTCAATGGAATCACCTCTTTCTCATACTTATGTCCCATGTTTAAATTCATTGAGTATGTCTCCCTGTCTGCTTCCTTAATGTTTTTAAGAGTTTTTCCTAGATTTCACTTTTCTTCTCATCTTTCACCTAATCACCTAAAATCTATGACTCATTTTTCACTCTCCTCTTTATATCTCATTAGCCAGGACTGGATTTCACCTCAGCAAAACTCTTCATATCAATCCAATGTTTTTTATTTCCATTTTTTTCATACCTCCTCCCCTAAAATCAGATCACCAAATCACTTTATAGCAGGATTATTTTCATTATCTTCTTTTAGTCTAGTGTGCATATTGCTATCATGGTAAATACATTGAAAATATAGTTTTAGCTCTAGTCTGATAATATCTGAACTCGTAAATTTTTAATTACATCCCATTACTTAAGGAGGTAAAGTACATATTTCTTAAGTCTTTCTCAAGTCCTTAATAGTAGAGACTTGGTCTACCCTTTCAGATCCTAAAATTATACAGTTTTAGAGTCATAACAAATGTAGTGATCTAAAATCCACTCATGGTGGTGTCTTACTCCTCTTACCCCCTTGGCACTGTGATTTCTCTATTTTTATGCTTGTTTTTACTATTTCCTCTCCCAACTCTATGATACAAGATGTTGTAGACATCACCACAATAAAAATAACTCTGATACTAAAGTGAAATACACTGATTACTATAGAATTAGCAGATTAGTAACCATGTGAAGCTTTTAGTGGAGTTCTATAAATTTTCTTTTCAGCTCTGTTAAATATTTGTGTGTGTGTGTTATAGTAATCCGAAATTTTAAACTCAGCTATTTAAATCTAAAGCAGTAATTGATGAAATGTTTCAAATGGTTGCTCTCATTTTTTTGTTTATGATAACTATTCTGTCTTCAAGGTTAAATCAGTAAAGATGGGTCATATTTTGGTAGTAGATGAAGCAGACAAGGCCCCAACAAATGTAACCTGTATTTTAAAAACTCTAGTAGAAAATGGAGAAATGATTCTTGCAGATGGGAGACGCATTATTGCAAGTGAGTATTAAAAAAACAACTTTTCCCTTAATTTATGCAGTTTTTACATTTCTAGTATCAAATCGCACACTTATCTTTCACAAGCAATAAGCATAAATTCAATACAACTCAAATTGTCTGGGTTGACAGTCATTTATAAAAATCAATAGTTCTGAATCTAGCTTTTAACAGTTTCACTTTTTATGGTCAGAGGGTATTTTTGACAGTTTCATTAGTTTTAGGACAAGTCAGCTTCATATTTTCCTACTCTAAGAATATCAGTATTAATCCTTTTTATACTTATTTCAACTATTTGTGTGCAATGTAATGTCTTTCATTGTTTTCTGCAGTTTTTTAAAGTTCTCTTTTGTTTATTATAGTATTAAAATTAATGTTGTTAGCTCATGGTATGACTCTGTGTGTGTATACATACATATTTTACACACACATATCCCTGCCTTGGAAACTGTTATCCTCTATTTTTGTCATCCTTTTATATTCCTTGTTGTTAGAGAAAATGTGGATAGATGAATCTCATTCATCTAACCTACATGAAAATGTCCAGTTTGTCATATGCAATGTGAGAACAAATTCAAGTTTATAATTTTGAATTTTCATGTCATGAAAATTTACAACTACCAAATGAAAATATATAGCCAATAACAGGTAACTGGACAAGTTAAGACAATTAATTAAAATCTAAAACATTCAAAGAGAGCATGGCAAAGAAGATTCCATTAAATACTTTCAAGTGCATCACCCCAGAGATGTTTTTGGACATTGTCATTGCCAAGATTGTCAGGAAAGATTTCTAGGCAAAATGAGCCTAGGAAACTCAGCATTAATAAAAGTATTCTAACATTTCAGTTTCACAATGAATTTTTGGGAAAAACAAGAGTTTGAATTAGCCTGAACAGTGTCCAAAAGTGGTCATTCAGACACTCAGGATTATAATTCTGCCAAGCCATTTTAGAGATATTATGAAGACAGTGAAATGGAAAGGAAGAAAGAATTGCTCAGCAAAATTGTAGCAAAGGAGTGATTATCTCCTGGTAACACTCTGCATTTTCTGATACATTTTTAAGGGATAGTCTAGAAGTAAAGGAGCTATAAATTTTAAACTTAGGTTGACCTAGCTATACACAAGAGCTCCTGAAGCTCTTTCAAATGTGGTTTCATCAAGCATCGCTTTTAGGGCTATGATTTTCATTTCTTCACGTATTTAAATTTTCATTTTTTATTGTCATTGGTACTTTAACCACTCAATTAAATCTTGCCTTTATTTGGATACTAAACATTAAAACTGTTGGTTATATTACTACATGAATATATGACACATTGAGAGATTATTTTTTGGTATCATAAAAAAGTACAAGTTCTTACAGACTCATCTCAATTAAAACTGCAGGTGCTTCCAAACTATCATTTTTTTTTTTAAAGATAAACAGCCTAAAGACTGTCATATAAATAAACCTATATGATAAGTGTTTCTCTTAAAATAACCATTAAAAAGCTTTTACTATCTTAAATTGTTATCTGGAGTAGCAGTTCTATCTCAAATGTGTACCAGCCAGTAGAATATAATACTCAGTTCCATAAATACCTTAAACATCTGCACAAAGCTCCACTCAACTTAAAATTACTTATTTCTGAATGTGAATTTTTCATTGGAAATAAATCAACATTGTGCTAAGTGATTTACTAGATTTTAAGACCTTTATCATATGTGACTAAGTTTCAGGGTGCATGATCTAACAGGAAAAACTCTTTAGCTGTGTAATGTCAGGCTCTACACAAGTTACAAATTTTAAGGAAAAATAGCTGCTGATTTGTAAGCAATAATAACATTTCAAGCCAAGTTTAATAAGAAAATATTGGGACAAATTTATGGTTTAGATGTGCATTGAATTTAAATAAAAATGAAAGTTCCTCTATAATCTAGTACAAGCTTGATCAGATTGTGTTTTTAAGGAAATTTTCTCAGGATAGTTTTTTTTTTCCCTGCAACCAAGTTATCAAAAATTTCTAGAGCTTTTTGACTTGAACGGTGTGGCTAATTACTTTAAAGGCTGTAATTTGATAGTCATGAGAATTATTAAATATAAATAAGTAAATAAGATGTTTTATTTTTCAGATTCTGCTAATGTGAGTGGAAGAGAAAATGTTATAGTGATCCATCCTGATTTTAGGATGATTGTTCTGGCCAATAGACCTGGATTTCCTTTCCTAGGCAATGATTTCTTCGGTACCTTAGGTAAAAATAGTAATGATAATAACAAAAACAACACCACTAATACTATCCTAGTAGCAATGGTCTCTGTAATGACCATTACTCGATGCCTGCTGTGTCATTATCATAACTCCTGTATTTTTTATCCCCATTTGAAAAGGAGACTGTCTGAGAGAGAAAATAATTGTTTTCTAGGGACACTTGGTTTATGATTTTTAGAGCTGGATTTCATGACTGATTTCAGAGCCTGCTTTCTTAACAAACCATACTTTATTTCGGGCCTCTTGGAGTCAAATACTAAATAAGGAATGGTTTTTTGTTTTGTTTTGTTTTGTTTTCACATTTCCCTAATTGTGAAAGGTTTGAGGCCAGCTCTGAGGAGACTGATTCTCATTGATTAGAGAGGCCCTAGGATAAATTTTAATCATCAAGAGCCTTTAAGGACTGCTCTTCACTATGGCAAGTAGGTAGTTCAGGATACTGGTAATTCTCATATTCAACATGAGGCATGTCCAGTCTCCTAGTAGGGTTTTTAATCTATCAATTTCACATCAAGGATTTTCACATCCAATGAAATTACCTGTGCAATGCTTTAAGTATAAGGATAGGCAATATAGCTTGTTCTTTTTTTTATGTAATCTTTTTCTATTCAGGTAACACTGACTTACAATACTGTATGTGGTTCACAGATATAGGATCAAACCTCTTCAGGTTGTTACTGCACCATCCATATCTACCACAAGACACTCATAGTCCTCCATTATAGTCCATTGTGCTCCCTCCCAACTTTGCTGTCCATCCTGCCCCTCCTCCACTGGCAACCTCATTTTTATGTTCAAACCTAAACTAAGATATATAGTTGTGAAACTACCTAGTGTTCAGACAAAGAGAGCCAAAAAGGTGACCAAAAAAAAAGCAGGTAACCTACAAAGTCACACCCATCAGGCTTACATTAAGATTTTTCTGAGAAAACCCTGCAAACAGAGAGAGAATGAAAGAAAGAATTCAAAATACTTAAAGATAAAAAATTGTCACACTAAAATACTATATCCTGCAAGACTCTCCTTCAGATAGAAGAGAGAAATAAAAGCCTTCCTAGACAAATAGAAGGTGAAAGACTTTACAAACAATACATCTACCCTTCAAGAAATATTTAAAGAAGCTCTTCTAGCTAAACTGAAGAAAGTCCATGAAAACTAAAGACAAAATAGCAGAGGCAAATCATCATATTTCACTATTCACTCTAAGTGAATGAACTAAACTCACCAACCCTAGGCACAGTGTGACTGGTTACATCAGAAAACAAAACCCAACTTTTAGTTGTCTCCAGGAAACAAGTTTGAGTTTCAAAGATTAAGGCTCAAATTAAATGGTTGAAAGCTATAAGCAAATAGGACCCAAAAAAAGGCAGGGACAGTTTTATATATATATAAATCAGATAAAATAGACTTCCTGCTTTAAAAAAAGGTAAGAAGAGACAGGAATGTATATTATATAATGGTTAAGGGAAATATATCAGGAAGACATTCTCTCTCTCTTTCTCTCTCTGCATCAAGTGAGGGAACAACAAAATATATATGACTACTGTTGACAAGTCTGCACTTGATCTTAGCCAAAAGGCCGAGAAGCGATGTTGTTGACAAGTCTGAAAACAGCATTGGAAGCAACACAATAGTGAGGGGGTACTTTATGCCACCTTCATCAATGGACAAATCACACAGACAGAAACTCAACAAGGAATCAATAGCCTTAAATATGAAATTACATCACATGGACTTAATAGACATTTTTAGGGCACTGTAACCCCCAAAAGCTGACTACACATTATTCTCAAGTGCACATAGAAAATTCTCCAGGATATACCACATATAGGGGCACAAAACAAGTATCAGTAAATTTATGAGGATTGAAATCATAGGAAGTATCTTCTCTGATCCTGAGACTTTCCTTTTCTATTGCATTAGATGTTTACTTTCCTCTCTATACCATTCTACCATTGGGTGGACTTTTTGTGTAATTTTACACATTTAAAAACAGAAGTTCCTTGTTGAGCAACTGTTGGCTCTTCAACTATTCCATATTTCCTATGGCATTATAATGGATTAGTTGCAAACTGAATGTGAATCTTCTGTTTTTTTCCATAGGTGATATTTTTAGCTGCCATGCAGTTGATAATCCTAAACCCCACTCAGAGCTTGAGATGCTCAGGCAGTATGGACCAAATGTGCCAGAGCCCATCCTTCAGAAGCTTGTAGCTGCCTTTGGAGAGCTGAGAAGTTTAGCAGACCAGGGGATTATTAACTATCCTTATTCCACCAGGGAAATTGTCAACATAGTCAAACATTTACAGGTATGGCACACACATATGCATAAAAGTTTAGAAGTAGCCATTAAATCTTTTTTTTTAGACTGCTTAATTCATACCATGTCAACTTCTATCGATTTAATACTGATTGAGATGATATAATATGAAATGTTTGTGATCTAAATTTTACATCAGGAGCACCAGTGAACATTTTATGTTTAGCCTTTAGCTTTACTTTGGTGAAGTTCTATACTATGATGGTTGTCAAAGAGCTAGGAAATTTGGTGGAGGATTGTTGGGGGTGCTGGAGGAAGATAAGAAAATGAGGCAGCAGGGAAGCTTTACTATTGTTTGACTATGTATAACAAGCATGTGGTATCTGGGTGAAAGATATTTTCACTTTAAAAACAAAAGACTTGGAGATAGAAAAGTGACTAGGATTTACAGAATATCTGTATACTTACAGTATATAGTATACCCGTATACTAACTATACCTGTATACTTTAAGAAAGTTTTATAGGGTATAGTAAAAGAGTGAAATTCCTTGTAGCCATGTATAGTAATAAGTAGTCACCTTAGTAAAGAAAACAATTCTTCCCTTTTTTATTAAATTTTTTATTTTCTTAACATTGTTGATAGTTTCATGGGTTTTTTTTTTTATTTGTACTGGGTTGTTTTTTTTTTTTTTCCCTTACATCTTTGTTAATTTTTGGACAGTATTTGATTTCTCCCCTCAGGTGTAGTCCCCATAGTTTTCCCACCACCACAGCACTGTGATCCATCACCATAGTCTCTTGAGCTCTTCCCTCCCCTGTTTTGACCCCTCTCTCTTCCCTCCCTCCCCTGCTGTACGCCTCAGGTCAGTTTGCAAGTTTTGTCTTTTCCTGACCCTTTGTTCAGTTTCTCTATTCCCAAAATATAAGTCACACTGTCTAGTATTTATCTTTTCCTTCTGATTTATTTTACCATGATCCCTTCTGGCCCCATCCATATAAATTCTTCTTTTATAACCAATGATAGCCTCTAAGCTAACAGTTACTATCTAATGACTCTGCCTTACCTCCAGCCCTCCATGGGGAAAGGAAAGGAAAAAGGAAAGGTTTATTCTGCCTGTAAAGTCATGTTAAGCCCAACTCAGATTCCAGTATCTAAATAAAATCAATACAGAGCCAGTCAAGGACCCAGAAGACACCACCAGTATAAATTTTTTTTTTCATTTTCACTTGTGCATTTTTACATCATTGTTTATTTTTGTACAATGTTTGATTTCTCCTCTCAGGTGTTGTCCCCATAAAATTACCACCACCAAGACACCTGTGAACTGTCAACATTAGACTCCTGTGCTCTTCCTTCCTGTTGTGATCCCTCTCCCTCACCTGCTGAATGTCTGATTTATTGTTTGCCTGCTAGTTTTGTCTCTTTTTTTTTCCCCTGATCTCTTGTTTGGTTTCCCTATATTCCTCCTATAAGTGAAACCATACTATATTTTTCTTTTTCCTCCTGGCTTATTTCACTGAACATAATCCCTTCCAGCTCCATCCATGTTGCTGTGAATGGCATAAGTTTATCTTTTTTGATTGCTGAGTAATAATCCATTGTGTGTGTATACCACATCTTCTTGATCCAATCATCTGCTTTTTTTTGGCTTTTAGTTTGTTTCCACATTATAGCTATTGTAAATAGTGCTACAATGAATATACGAGTGCAGGTTTCCTTTTGAATTAGCATTTTTTGTGTCTTTTGGGTAGATTCCTAGGAGTGGAATTGCTGGGCTATATGGTAGATCCATTTGTAGTAATTTATGGGTCCTCCACACAGCTTTCTACAGTGATTGGACCAGTTTGCACTCCCACCAGCAATGTAAAAAGATTCCTTTTTCTCTACATCCTCACCACCATTTGTTGTTGTTTGTTTTTTTTAATTTGGGCCATTCTTACTACTACCAGTATAAATTTAGATGTAATTGCTTGTAATACTCATTTTCTTTCTTTCTGCTATTTCCTCTTTCTCTAGTCTCTGTACTTTCTTTCTTGTTCCTTTATCTCTGTTGGTTGTTTTGTTTTGTTTTGTTTTCATTAGTCATAAGCTTGTGACCTGTGACTACAGAACTATCTGTATAAATATTCAACACTGTGTTTTATTTAAATAGATTTTTTGCCCAGTCTGGTACTCCTTTTAAAGTCCAAGCTATCACATAGCAGTGTAAGTCACTGCATACCTAAATCTGAGCACTGATTTAACATTTGAAAGAAGGAATCTTCCCCCACCAAAACTCTAGTATTTATTTAAAAATGAAAATATTACATCATGAAAGCAAACATTAAAAAAAAGGAAAATGTATGTCTACCACCTTCTGGTTATCTGACAAGACTAGTCAATATCTGACCATTTGACCATTTTTCTATCAGCTTTATGTATCTTTATAATAGTCTGTATTTTATTTTGTGTGTAACAGAGGATTTTTTTTTTTTTTTTTTTTTTTTTTTTTTTTTTTTTTACAGAAATTTCCCACTGAAGGTCTCTCCACTGTAGTTAGGAATGTTTTTGACTTTGATTCCTACAATGATGACATGAAGGAGATTTTAACTAATACTTTACACAAATATGGGATACCTATCGGAGCAAAACCTACCAGTGTGCAGCTGGCGAAGGAGTAAGGCAAACTTACTATTGATCCAATATTCTTAGCATTACTGTTCTGATTCATAAATTCTGATAACTCTGAATTTACTGCTACACTCTACTAAACTGGGTTGGTGTGGAAATTATTTTACGCAATTAAACTTTTCATATTAATGCTGCTATTTGCTGGCTGGATTTCAGTTAAATAGCATTATTTATAGGCCTGTAAATTGAGAACTTCGATTATTTTGAATACCCCATGAGTAGGTGTAATGTATTCAAATAAAGGGAAATATTTGTTTCTTTAACAGTCTCTGTCCTTTTCTTGAATTACTATGAGTCTCATTATTTCCTAATCTAGTGCAAAATCACATACAAACACAAAAACTACATAAAGGGATAATATGTGTTTAATTAAGATGTCCTTATTTGTGTCACCATATATTTTTCTTTATGATAGTTTTCTAAGTTTATAATCATTAACTGAAGAGCTCTTTGGTTACTTATTTCAACTTGGCAGATGAAAGAAGTAGTGAAAACAAGTGGGTTTGTTTCTTGTGGGCTGGTTGCCTGACTTCTATTTTGTAATCTCAGGCTATGTACTTAAACTTAGTTAAGAATATTGAAATATGTTGTTGTTCAGAAAAATAGTTGATACTTTATTACTAAGTAGGTCAGTGTAGATTCACTGGAAAACAATTTTAAATATGTATCACTTACTAGCAGTGCATCTAATGTTTTTTGTCTAGAAAAAGTCAATTATCATACGTTCCCAAGGGATAATTCTGTTGTTGAATTATTTAACTTTAGTGTCATATAGGAGGTACTCTTTGCCTTTCCTTAGGAAAAAATTGTTAACTATCAATCAATGATTCATCCAACTATATACAGAAGTATACATACACACATATTCTAAATATCTGTATCATCCTTATTTATTCTTTGGAGTTATTATAAAATCTTGTCAGAACATATGCCAATAAAAATAAATTGTAAAAGTATCAAGGATATCTTGAAGAGAAACAAATATTTCCCTTTTATAGTCAAAACACAAGATGGAGTTATGTTAGAAATTATCAGTGAATTGGCTTATATTATCAAACAAGTGAATTTTTTTTGAAAGAGTGGTTTGGTGTCTACTGATGTATACACATTTCTGTAAAATACTGTTCTTCTCATTGGTTATCATTATTTATGGGGATATTAAAACTAGTTTGGTAACTAAATGGTTGTAAGCATATTAGAGAGTTCAAGAAATTGTCATTCGTATACAAACTTCTATTAGTGCTCATGTTTTATCTTTTTATTAACTGTAGCATTATTTTCAATTGGAAACGGGAATTGTTATAACTGTTAACAAATTTATATAGAGTTTTAACTTCATGGAATCCAGGCTTGTGATTTAAAAAGAACTCTTTTTTTATATCTTTCTACAATGTGAACTAAAAAGAAATGTGTATATGTTCACAAGATAAATCATAAGATAGTTGTTGGCAATTTAAGTCTCTAAGGAAAATAGATAAAATGAGTTAATTTATTCTTTATTATCCTCAGTTCTAAGCTGAAAATTTATTACCATGGCTTGTTAATTCTTGCCATGGCAAGTTAATTTGAACTCTAGTACTTGCTTATGAGTGGAAATAAGTACACTGAGCCTAGAAACAAAATGGTCATACTCACACTAAGATGGGGATGGAAACAACTAGTTGTCCACCCACTGAATATAGCTGGAAATAGACCTATAGCAGATGTAGAGGAAGAATGAATTTTCCCTTGGGGGAGAGATAATAGTAGACTACAATTGCACTTCAAAGCACTCTTTCTTTGTCTGTTAATTGCATTGACTTAGACAACTCAAAAGTTATGGTGTCATTTTATTGCCCTTTAGTGAAGTCCACGGGTTCCATTCTTCTATTTCTATTAAGTTATCACCCTTGCACATAAAAAGGGCAGGTAACATGGAAAAGTGAACAAAGCAATGGCTGGAAATTGAACACACGTTTATGCCTGAGTCAGTTATGGAGAATCAGATGAGAAGACACAGCCCTGCCCTCAAAATATTGACAGTTCCACCTTGGTAATGTGAATATAGTGAAATTACTTAACTAAACAGTCTCCCTATTTGGTATAATGAGAGCATTTCATCTAAATTAGGACATTTTTTCAAATGGGAGGGGGCGCTGTTAATAATAGCTCTGTGAAAGGACATGTGAAATAAGACTGTCCTAATGAGGCCACTAGGTGATCATTCTCATCATACATAACTAATAAGGTTCATTCCTGTTCTAACATCCTTTGTTTTTTAATATAATCTTAATTATCTCTCATTTGCAAAGACAAGTAAAAGAAGTTTTACTAATATTTACTTCGAGAGTAATACACTGTTAGTAGTAACCACATAGAACTCTGAAGTTTTAATCCCTGTGTAGCCTTATGATTTGCTTTCACTTTTCTATTCTTAATAATTTGAGAAACCTCTGTACTGTTTTCCATAGAGGCTACACTAGTCTACATTCCCACCTGCAGTGTGTGAGGTTTCTTTTTCTCCACATCCTCCCCAACACTTGTTGTTTTAACCTTTGGATATGGGGCCATTTTCACAAGTGTGACATGGTATCTCATTGTGGTTTGGTTTGCATTTCCCTGATAAGTGATGCTACACATTTTTTCATGTGCCTGTTCAACATCTGTATGTCTTTGGAAAAGCATCTGTTTAGCTCTTTGGTCAATTTTTTGTTTAGGTTATTTGTTTTCTTGTTGAGTTATATGAGTTCTTTGTAGATATTTGATATTAGCCCCTTGTCATATGTATCCTGTGAACTTTTTTCTGTTCAGTGTGGTATCTTTTTGCTTTAATGATAGTTTCCTTTGCTGTGCAGAAGCTTTTTAATGTGGTATAGTCCCATTTGTTTATTTTTGCTTTTGTTTTCTTTGCTATTGTACTCGAGTCCCTATGTTTTCTGTCACCTATGTTTTCTTCTATGTACTTATTGCAGTTTCACATCTTCATCCATGTCTTTAATCCATTTTTAATTAATTTTTGTTAATCATATAAGATAGTGGTCTAGTTTCATTCTTTTTACTGTGACTGTCCAATTTTCCCAGCACCGTTTGTTGAAGAGACTTTCTCCATTGTGTGTTCTCAGCTCCTTTGTCATAAATTAACTGTCCTTATAAGTGTGGGTTTATTTCTTGGCACTCAGTTCGGTTCCATTTATCTGTGTATATGTTTTTATTCCATTACCATACTGTTTGGGTACTATTGCTTTATAGTATAATATGAATTTATGAAATGCTTTTTTGTTAGGATTGCTTTGCCTGTTTGGGATCTTTTGTGGTTTCTTGCAAATTTTAATAATGTTTGCTCTGTTTCCTTGATGAATACCATTGGTATTTTGATAGAGATGGCATTAAATCTGTGTATTGCTTTGGTTAAGGTAGGTATTTAACAAATCTTCCAATTCATGATCATGGAGTTTCCTAGTGCTTCTATTTGCTAGTGTTCTCTTTCATTTCCTTTAACAATAATGCCTTAACAGTTTTCATTGAACAGGTGTTTCATTTCCCTTGTTAACTTAATTTCTCAGAACTTAATTATTTTTTATGTTTGTAAATGGGATTGTTGATTTCTTTGTCTTTCAGTTCTTTGCATATAGTCATGCAACAAGCTTTTTTATATTGATTTTGTGCCTTGCCACTTTACTGAATGATTTATTGTCTTTAATCATTTTTAATGGAATCTTTAGGATTTTCTCTATATATTTTCATGTTGTCTGCCATTAGTGATGATTTTGTTTCTTCTTTTTAAATTTAGATTCATTTTATATCTTTCTCTTGCCTCATTGCTCTAGCAAAGACTTCCAATACTGTATTGAATAGTGGTGGTGGGAGTGGCCATCTTCTCTTGTACCTGATCTTAAAGGAAAAGCTTTCAGTTTTCCATCGAGTATGATGTTAGCTGTAGGATTATCATATATGCCCTTGAAAAGAGGTTCTTTTTAAAATACTTCATTCCCAAGCTTCTTGAAAAGAATTTTATCTATCAGGAATTATTTTTAAGCATATGGCACTCTTCTTTCAGTTCCATGCTTTTTCTCATTCCCTTTGTTCTCTGAAGTTTTAAGTGTAAATTATTTATTCTAAATATAAGTACATTCGTATCATATATGTCTAGGCCCATATTAGCCTTTAGTTTTAATTAAATTAATAAGTTCACATTTTAAACAGTTTAAAAACATGGTGGTTGTCATCGATATACTTGCCTTTCAGAGGCCTGAGATTGGTGAAAGGAGGCTTCACTTTCTGTGGTAGTTTAATATTCTAACACATTATTTCCTATATTACATTTTTTATCTCATTTATTTTTTTAAACATCCTATTGTTTTTTCACAATATAGGATTTCCACCATCAGTTTTTTAAATTTCAGTGACTGGGCTATGGACTCATTCTGATTTTTTTATACAAGTAAAATAAAATTTTTAAAGTAAAGGTCTACTCTAGAATTGCTATTTTGAGGGATCTTTATCTCAAGTACAGCAAAGCTTCTGTCACACTGCTGTAGGGTAGGAAGTTGGCTCACTTACAGTGGCAAATGGAAAATGAAGTTAACCTGGCTTTTCTATGGTCTTTCAACACAGTATATACATTAATAGGCATCAACACAAGCCTTTCAATTGAGAGTAGACAATGCATTTTTTTCCCACAATTCAAACTTCTGCCTCATTTCTTTGCTCCTATTTTTAGCAGATTTTTTTTGCGGTAACGTTGGTTTACATTGTATGTGATTTAGAGGTATATGTTCACCACCTCCAGGTGTTGTTACCACACCTACCCTAAGACACCCAATCTGTGTATTGCTTTGGTTAAGGTGCCATTTAACCCAAATTATTTATTATTTAGAATAAATAATTTACACTGTGATCTCTCCCCACTTTGCTCTCTTCCTTCCTGCTTAATAGCCTCAGTACTACAGTCAGATTTCTAGGATTTGCTATTGGTTTGGCTTTGTCTGAGCCTTTGTTTTGTTTCTG